TGTCAGGGCTACACAAAGTCATCAGACCGAGTATATGTGACAAACGTTAAGCTTTCGAATCTTTAATTAGGCCTATATTATAATTTAATTAGGCCTATATTATAATGCAACTGTGTGTATCTGCATGTCATGACCGTTTAATCCAGAGAAAAGCAGGTTTACGCTATCGCTCAGCGGGCTGCGGTGCGTGCTCCCGCGAGCGCAATCAGATTCTCGCAGACATTCACTTTTTCGCACGACAGGTGTCGCACGACACCGGCATGTAAATAAAGATGGCTGCGCCCGGTAAGCAGCGGCATGGATCGCATGATAAAGATGAAAATCCTGCTTGATGCATGCACATATTAGATAATTGTATCGAAAATATCTGTGTTATAACTAGAGCTAGATGGGACACCTCAGAAAAATCGCAATAGAGTGGATATCGCTGAAAGGGAGAGAGTGCAATTTATTGTTGAGATCTTCTGTAGCCTCCATAAAGCTGAATATAGGTCATCAATCATGCATTTTTTGTGCCATCATCATGATCATGGACCAGATTACTTACCTGGTGCATGTGTATTTTTCGATTGGCCTAAAAAGGCGGCAGGCAAGACATGTATGTATATGTTGTGGAATTTTTTAAATCATTGTCAAAATCTTAGCCTGCGACATAAAGATTGTCTTTCTGATCATGCTGATACTGATCATTACTGACACAAATATATAAAGTGAAAAAGTGTAGGGTAGCAAATAAGACTACACTACAGTGAATGCTGCTGTTTTGCCTTTGAATTTGTAATTAAAAGGGGATGGATCATAATGGCAAACAGTTTGTTTTGTTCTATAGTACAGCTTCAGTTAGTGAATGATTTAACCTTTGAGAATGATGGCTGAACTCATTCATTATTCCATCTTCAATTAAATCTTTACCAGGTATTTCTGTTTCCTTTCCAGATACTGCTGGTCCTTCTCCAAAGAGATTGCGTTCAAAAGATGACATACATGGCAATTCTACCTGAAATCTGTTTGATTTGCAACAGGAAGGATCATTTCATTACACGCCAGGGGAAAAGAGTGAAGGATAAGTTAGCTAAAGCAGAAACAGCAAATTGTGGTAGGTTTATATCTTATATTGTACTTGGTGTGCCATTCATCGTCGTGCTCTGCAGGCAGTGATATCTGCACTGTCACCAGATGGCCATGGTGGGAACATCCATGAAAAACAGCTTTCTATCAATTGGATGACCAATGATCCTGCTCCTAAAGAGGCGCTGAAACTTATAAGCTGTAAATGCAAAACAGGACGATGTGATACTAAATGTTCATGTAAATCTTCTAACCTTAAATGTACAGAGTTGTGTGGGTGCAAGAACTGTCAAAATGTTACCGGAGAAGAGGAAATTCTGTCTAGTGATGATAGCGATGATGATTGTACAATCTAGTCTAAAGATAATGAGACATTGTGACCATCATTGACATTCATAATGATGCCTTATTAGACATTGTAGAATTTATAAATATTTTCTTAATACTTAGTGCAGTGAGCATGGTGAGGCTTGTGAAAACCACTTTTCTCAGTTACAATGTCAGAATGAGCAAGGCAGTATTGTTGGATCTTCTGTATTGATAAACCTGCTTGTAATTTTGTTTTATAATGCTGTACATAATTTGGATAATAGAGTATATGCAACATTTGTTTTTGTTCATAATCTAAACCCGATATGTTATCAATATGAAAAATTAGATCCCGCTGTGTACTTGTTTAAATGGCACTGTGTTGGAAACAGTGCTGCTTTAGATTTTGAAATAAAGATTTCTTCACAACAATTGCTCATATCCTCCTAATCTTTCATATTGGACATATGTGGGAATGTTCGTATCGATTGTGAAATTTGAAGTGTTTAGCTTTATTGAGATAATTGAAGTTAAAGATGCTAGTATTGGAGGCCAAAAATTTCAGGAATTTTCCAAATAAGTTTGAACCACTGCTCCAATCTGGCCGATATTCTAAGGTTTGACTATTTGTAGGACCCTCTAAAGATCTACAAAGTTTGAAGTGTGTGGCTCTATTACTTTTAGAGATAATTGGAGTCAAAGATGCTATTGGAGGCCAAAATGTCCTTTTTTCATGCATTACCCAACTTCAAATGACGATTACTCACTAACTGAAAAAAAAAAGTTCCACAAGCGGGCATCCTGCAAAGAAGATGAACTATTTTACTTCATAAAAAACATAATAAAAAGTATTACCCAAGATGCTGGAACGGAACTCACTTTCTAGCCACTTTCTGAGAGCTAGCCTATGGCCTATAGATGGCGCCAAATGACAACAGAATGTAAACAAACCAACAGCGACACATTTTGTAGAAAAAAATATGTAATTTATTTTAAAAACAACCTAAACACACACAA